TCTGTGTCTGTGTGTGTGGTGTCTCTGTGTGTGTGGTGTGTCTTTGTGTGTGTGGTGTCTCTGTCTGTGTGGTGTGTCTGTGTATGTGGTGTCTCTGTGTGTGTGGTGTGTCTGTGTGTGTGGTGTCTCTGTCTGTGTGGTGTGTCTGTGTGTGTGTGTGGTGTGTGTGTCTGTGTGTGTGGTGTCTCTGTGTCTGTGTGTGTGGTGTCTCTGTGTCTGTGTGTGTGGTGTGTCTGTGTGTGTGTGTGGTGTCTCTGTCTGTGTGGTGTGTCTGTGTGTGTGGTGTCTCTGTGTGTGTGGTGTCTCTGTGTGTGTGGTGTTTCTGTATGTGTGGTGTCTCTGTGTGTGTGGTGCCTCTGTGTGTGTGGTGTGTCTGTGTGTGTGGTCTCTCTGTGTGTGTGGTGTCTCTGTGTGTGTGGTGTCTCTGTATGTGTGGTGTCTCTGTGTGCGTGGTGTCTCTGTGTGTGCGGTGTCTCTGTGTGTGCGGTGTCTCTGTGTGTGCGGTGTCTCTGTGTGTGCGGTGTCTGTGTGTGCGTTGTCTCTGTGTGTGCGGTGTCTTTGTATATGTGTGGTGTCTCATATACTCACCAACTCACTCATATACTCACCAACTAACTCACCCACTCATATACCCACCCACTCACCAACTCTTTCGCCCACTCACCAATATACTCACCATCCAATTACCCACCAAATCAATCATGCAGTCACTCACTCACCCACCCATTCACTCACTCACCCATTCACTCACTCACCCATGCATCTACTTACTCACCATCTGCTCACCCACCAAATCACCCATTCCCTCACCATCCGCTCACTCGCTCACCGAAACAATAATTCAACCAATCACTCACCCACCCACTCACTCACCCATTCATCCACTCACTCACCCATTCATCCACTCACTCACATCTGCTCACTCACCCATTCACTCACCATCTGCTCACTCACCCACCCAATCACTCACCCATTCACCCATTCACTCACCATCCGCTCACTTACCCACCAAATCAGTCACCCATTCACCCATTCACTCACCATCCGCTCACTCACCCATTCACCCATTCATACACTCACCATCTCACTCACCCACCAAATGACTCACCCATGCATCCACTCACTCACCATCCACTTATTCGCCCACCAAATCAATCATCCCATCACTCACCCATTCATCCACTCACTCAACATCTTCTCACTCACCCACCAAATCACTCACCCATTCACCCATTCATACACTCACTCACCATCCGCTTACTCACCCACCAAATCAATCATCCCATCACTCACCCATTCATCCACTCACTCAACATCTTCTCACTCACCCACCAAATCACTCACCCATTCACCCATTCATCCACTCACTCACCATCCACTCGCTCACCCACCCACCCATTCACTCAACTTAGTCCCCCACCCACCCACTCACTGTGTCACTCTCCCTGTCACTCTCCCTGTCTCTCTCTAATTCCTCCCCTCGCTCTCTCTCCCCTCCCCCACTCCTGCAACTCTTCCTTAAATTCTCAAGCCTCACCGTAGCTAGGCAACCCAGAGAATTTTGTGGTGCGTGTGTCTCTGTGTGTGTGTCTCTGTGTGTGCGTGTCTGTGTGTGTCTCTGTGTATGTCTCTGTGTGTGCGTGTCTGTGTGTGTCTCTGTGTATGTCTCTGTGTGTGCGTGTCTGTGTGTGTCTCTGTGTATGTCTCTGTGTGTGCGTGTCTGTGTGTGTCTCTGTGTGTGTCTCTGTGTGTGCGTGTCTGTGTGCGTGTCTCTGTGTTTGTGTCTGTGTGTGCGTGTCTTTGTCTGTGTGTGTATCTCTGTGTGTGTGTCTGTGTGTGCAAGGAGCGGTGGCGCAGCGGTTAGCGCTACGCTGCGCTCCGAAACCCAACGAAGTCCTGAGTTCGATTCCCGCTCGCGGCTAGCACCGGTGACGATGATCTGAACCGGTCCTGGGCCTCCCCTAGGTCGACTCAGACTCAATGTAGTACCTGGTGCGGTGTGCAGTAAACATCGTCACAGGGGAGGCAAAGGCGGTCGGGCGTGGTGCTGGCCACCCACCCCCTCGTGTGCCGTGCCGGCCTTCATAGGTGCTGCTCGCTAACAGCACTTGCCCCTACAGTCTGTTAAGGCTATATGGGGGGTCTTTGTCTGTGTGTGTTGATGTCTCTATGTAAAGGTGTGTATGGTTGTGTCTGTGTGTGTGTTGGTATGTGTGTGTGTGTTGATGTCTCTATGTAAAGGTGTGTATGGTAGTGTATGTGTGTGTGTATGGTAGTGTATGTGTGTGTGTATGGTCGTGTCTGCGTGTCCACTGGGGAGACAAAGGCGGCCGGGCGGCCGTGGTGCTGACCGACACCACCCCTCTTATAGGTGCCGCCTGCTTAGCAGCACTTGGCCCAGCAGCCCGTGTGGGCTACACGGGGGACCTTTGTCTGTGTGCGGGGACTGTGTGCCTTAGGTGGTGTCCTGCCTCCTCCTCCTCAAAACCGGCGTCTCAGAGATTCAACACTGGGACCACGGGGGGTGGGGGCCACGGGGGTGGGGCCACGGGGGGTGGGGCCATGGGGGAGAGAGGGGGGGAGGGACACTCCATGCCATCGGCACTCACCCAAACACTCACCCACTCACTCGCCCACTCACCCAAACACTCACCCACTCACTCGCCCACTCACTCGCCCACTCACCCAAACACTCACCCACTCACTCGCCCACTCACCCAAACACTCACCCACTCACTCGCCCACTCGCTCATATACTCACCAACTCACTCGCCCACTCACTCATATACTCACCCACTCACTCGCCCACTCACCCAAACACTCACCCACTCACTCGCCCACTCACTCATATACTCACCCACTCACTCGCCCACTCACCCAAACACTCACCCACTCACTCGCCCACTCACTCATATACTCACCCACTCACTCGCCCACTCACTGATATACTCACCCACTCACTCGCCCACTCGCCCATATACTCACCCACTCATTCGCCCACTCACTCATATACTCACCCACTCACTCGCCCACTCGCCCATATACTCACCCACTCACTCGCCCACTCATACTCACCCACTCACTCACCCACTCGCGCATATACTCACCTGCTCACTCACCCACTCGCTCATGTACTCACCAACTCCCTCACCCATATACTCACTCACCAACTCACTCGCCCACTCACTCATATACTCACCCACTCACCCACTCACCAACTCACTCGCTCACTCACCCATATACTCACACACTCACTAACTCACTCGCCCACTCGCTCATACACTCACCTGCTCATTCACCCACTCGCTCATATACTCACCCACTCACCAATTTACTCGCTCACTCACCCATATAATCACACACCAACTCACCCACTCACTCATACACTCACCTGCTCACTCACCCACTCACTCATATACTCACCAACTCACTCACCCACTCATACACTCACCTGCTCACTCACCCACTCACTCATATACTCACCAACTCACTCACCCACTCAACAACAACAACCGCCATTCGCCACTAAGTGGCGGTGACGTCATCACGACGCCTGTGCCAGGCCATGTGCACCTTGAGGCCACGTGAAGTGTCGAACGCCCGCTGACAGGTCACGGGGCAGACCTAGGTGCCACGGGTCGACTGACTAAGATGACTGAGATGACTGGCTGATGCACCACCTGTGCCCCCTACTGTGCCAACCTGCTGTGCTTTAGCCACCCGGCGCTCTGCTCGTTGTTGTGAGCGTCGCTCCTCCACCCTCCGTTGTTGTTGTAGGGCGACTGCCTCCAACTGCCCAGTAGCGTCCTTCACGAGCCTCCTCCACAGAGGCCGATATTGACACCGCTGGTACCAGTCATCGGCAAGTCCACTTAGCTCCACGTCCTCCTGTACCACATCACTCCATCTCTTCTCTAGCCCGTGCCGCGCCCGTTTAGCCCCCTCGATCCGGCCGAACAAAAGCTGTTTCGGCATGCGGTGGCTGGGCCTGCGGGCTACATGACCCAGCCAACGCAGCCTTGCCTGCCGGAGGAGCTCATCCACTCACCCATATACTCACACACTCACCAACTCGCTCGCCCACTCACTCATATACTCACCCATTCACTCACCCACTCACTCACCCATATACTCACACACTCACCAACTCAGCCACTCACTCATATACTCACCAACTCACTCACCCACTCACCCATTTACTCACACACTCACCAATCGCTCGCCCACTCATATACTCACACATCAACTCACTCACCCACTCATATGCTCGCCCACTCACAAACTCACTCGCCCACCCGCTAATATACTCACCAACTCACTCATATACTCACCAACTAACTCACCCAGTCATATACCCACCACTCACCAACTCACTCGCCCTCTCACCCACCCATATACTCACCAACTCACCCACTCATATACTCAGCTGCTCACTCACCAACTAACTCACCCACTTACTCAGATACTCACCCACTCACTCACCCACTCATATACTCACCCGCTCACTCACCCACTCACCCACTCACTGATATACTCACCTTCTCACTCACCCACTCACTAACTCACCCATATATTCCAATACTAATACCCGTGGTGACGTCACCACGGCGCCCGTGCCAGGCTCGGTGCACTTTGAGGCCACGTGAAGTCTTGAAGGCTCGCTGCTGGCAGGAGGATGTCACGGGACAGACCCCGGTGCCTTGGGTTGACTGCTGTGCCAGGCTAGGTGCAGGAGGTTACGGGACAGAGCCCGGTGCTATGGGTTAATTGGTGTGCCAGGCTAGGTGCAGGAGGTTATGGGACAGACCCAGGTGCCGTGGGTTAACTGCTGTGCCAGGCTAGGTGTGCCAGGCTACGTGTGCCAGGCTAGGTGTACCAGGCTAGGTGCATGGGTCAGAATGCACGGCCTCTAACTGCCCAGCAGCGTCCTTCACGAGCCTCCTCCGCCACCACCTCCACCACCTCCACCTCTACCACCTCCCCCTCCACCACCACCTCCCCCTCCACCACCTCCACCACCTCCAACACCTCCACCTCCACCACCCCCTCCACCACCACCACCTCCAACACCTCCACCACCTCCACCACCTCCCACTCCACTACCTCCACCACCTCCTCCACCACCACCTCCACCACCTCCAACACCTCCCACTCCACCACCTCCACCACCTCCACCACCTCCACTATCTCCACCACCTCCACCACCTCCACCACCTCCTCCACCTCCACCACCTCCTCCACCTCCACCACCTCCAACACCACCACCACCTCCCACTCTACCACCTCCACCACCTCCACCACCACCTCCTCAACCTCCACCTCCACCACCACCACCTTCTCCCACTGCACCACCTCGACCACCTCCACCTCCTCCACCACCACCTCCACCACCTCCTCCCACTCCACCACCTCGACCACCTCCTCCACCACAACCTCCACCACCTCCTCCCACTCCACCACCTCCTCCAACACCACCACCACCTCTTCCACCATCACCTCCACCATCTCCACCACCACCTCCACCACCTCCTCAACCGCCACCTCCTCCACCACCTCCACCACCTCCTCCCACTCCACCACCACCTCCTCCACCACCACCTCCTCCACTTCCTCCACCACGTCCTCCACCTCCACCACCTCCTCCACCTCCACCACCTCCTCCACCTCCACCACCTCCACCACCTCCAACACCTCCACCACCACCTCCCACTCCACCACCTCCACCACCTCCACCACCACCACCTCCTCAACCTCCACCACCACCTTCTCCCACTGCACCACCTCGACCACCTCCACCTCCTCCACCACCACCTCCACCACCTCCTCCCACTCCACCACCTCGACCACCTCCTCCACCACAACCTCCACCACCTCCTCCCACTCCACCACCTCCACCTCCTTTAACACCTCCACCACCACCTCTTCCACCATCACCTCCACCATCTCCACCACCACCTCCACCACCTCCTCAACCGCCACCTCCTCCACCACCTCCACCACCTCCTCCCACTCCACCACCTCCACCACCACCACCACCACTTCCTCAACCTCCACCACCACCACCTTCTCCCACTGCACCACCTCGACCACCTCCACCTCCTCCACCACCACCTCCACCACCTCCTCCCACTCCACCACCTCGACCACCTCCACCACAACCTCCACCACCTCCCACTCCACCACCTCCACCTCCTCCAACACCTCCACCACCACCTCTTCCACCATCACCTCCACCATCTCCACCACCACCTCCTCAACCGCCACCTCCTCCACCACCTCCTCCCACTCCACCACCACCTCCACCACCTCCACCACCACCTCCTCCACTTCCTCCACCACGTCCTCCACCTCCACCACCTCCTCCACCACCTCCACCACCACCTCCTCCACCACCTCCTCCTCCACCACCACCTCCACCACCTCCTCCACCACCTCCACCACCACCACCACCTCCACCACCTCCACCACCACCTCCACCACCTCCTCCACCTCCACCACCTCCACCACCTCCTCTACCTCCACCACCTCCACTACCTCCACCACCTCGTCTCTTCATCTCCGTGCCAAGGAACGCCGCGTTCCGTCCTTTGGCTGCTGCTCTGTGCTTAGTCTCGACCAGCAGTGGCAGCAGAAGCAGTAGCATCATCATCAGCAGCAGTGGCATCATCATCAGCAGCAGCAGCCGCAGTGGCATCATCAGCAGTAGCAGTGGCATCATCATCAGCAGTAGCATCATCAGCAGTAGCATCATTAGCAGTAGCAGCATGAGCAGCAGCAGCAGCAGAAACACCAGCAGTAGCATCATCAGCAGTGGCAGCAGCATCATCATCAGCAGTAGCAACAGCAGCAGAAGCAGCAGCAGAAGCACCACCAGCATCATCAGCAGCAGCATCATCAGCAGTAGCATCAGCAGCAGCATCATCAGCAGTAGCAGCATGAGCAGCAGCAGAAACAACAGCAGTAGCATCATCAGCAGTACCATCAACAGCAGTGGCAGCAGCATCATCATCAGCAGTAGCAACAGCAGCAGAAGCAGCAGCAGAAGCACCACCAGCATCATCAGCAGCAGCATCATCAGCAGTCGCATCATCAGCAGCAGTATCATCAGCAGTAGCATCATCAGCAGCAGCATGAACAGCAGCATCAGCAGCATCAGCATCGTCATCATCAGCAGCAGCGGTATTAATTCGGGGGTTTAATTGGCGGCGGGAAGGAGGAGGCACATAAATAAATAATCAATCAAACCTCAGCCCCAGGCAGAGTGGAGAGAGATCAGAGTTCAACTAGGGGGGGGAGAGGGGAAGGAGAGGGGGGAGCGGGGAGGGAGGGAGAGGGGAGAGAGGGGTGGGAGGGGGGGAGAGGCAGGGGATATATTGGAGGGGTAGAGGAGGGAGACGGGAGGGAGAATGCGGGGAGAGCGGAGGGAGAGGCAGGGGAGAGAGGGGAGGGAGAGGGGAGTTAGGGGACAGAGAGGGGAGATAGAGAGGGGAGGGAGAAGCAGGGGGAGAGGGGAGGGAGAGGGGGAGAAGGGGGGGAGAGCTCGAGAGAGTGAGGTAGGAGAGTTTGAGATAGAGGGGTGGTGAGGGGGGGGAGATGGAGAGAGATGCAGGAGAGAGAGAAGGGAGATAGAAGGGAGAGAGAAGAGATGGAGAGAGAGATAGGGGGTAGGAGATAGTGGAAATCGAGAGCGAGATAAATGGAGAGAGAGAGGAGAGAGTGGGGAGAGGAGATAGGTAAGGGAAATGCACAGGGGCGAGAAAGGGGGAGCGGGGAGGGAGATGGGGTAAGGAGAGAGAGGCAGGAGGGGAGAGGGACGAGGAGAGTAATTTACGATGAGGTGTGGGCGAACACTACGGCACGGAGAGACAGACGCACTCCGCATTGCGCTACTAACACCGCCATCACCGCCACCACCGCAGCAATCACGGCCACCATCGTCACCATCACGACCACCATCGTCGCCATCACGACCACCATCGTCGCCATCACCGCCACCATCGCCACCATCACCGGAACCGCCATCATCACCGCTATCATCATCAATCAGCACCACCGCCATCATCCCAGCCATCATAGGCACCGTCACCGCCATCATTATCGCCATCATCATCATCACCACTGTCATCATCCCAGCCATCACCGCCATCATCACCGCCATCATCACCGCCATCATCATCATCACCAGTCATCATCCCAGCCATCATAGGCACCGTCACCGCCATCATTACCGCCATCATCACCGCCATCATCATCACCACTGTCATCATCCCTGCCATCATAGGCACCGTCACCGCCATCATCACCATCAGAGGTATTGGTTCTGCCGTGTTTCAGATCTGCCTTGTGTTCGCGAGCACGGTCCGAGACATGTCGTTTCATTTCCCCAATGTAACAGCCACCACAGGTGCAAGTACGTTTGGAGACTCCAGGATATTGCATGTCAGGAATGACATCCTTCACAGATGGGATTAGATCACGGATTTTGTGTACTGCATTGAATCGGACCTGGATCTTGCGTTTGTTTCAGATTTTGGGAAATCTTTTTGGCAACACCTGGTATGTATGGTCACGTGATGGTTTTGATCGGCATCTAAGGGCGTTGTTTCTCCATGGTTGGAGAGACAGCTTTGCGAATAATCCGGTCCGAGTACCCATTCATCTTGAGGGCCTGGTGTACGTGTTCCAGTTCACTGGTTAGGTGGTGTTGGTCAGAAATGCAGTTAACTCGTAACACCAGGGTCTGTCCACGTGACCTGCGAGCAGCGAGCCTCAGACACTTCACGTGACCTTAAAGTGCACCTAGCCTGGCACAGCAGTTAACCCGTTACACCAGGGTCTGTCCACGTGGCCTCCTCCTGCACCTAGCCTGGCACAGCAGTCAATCCGTAACACCAGGGTCTGTCCACGTGACCTGCGAGCAGCGAGCCTCAGACACTTCACGTGACCTTAAAGTGCACCGAGCCTGGCACAGCAGTTAACCCGTTACACCAGGGTCTGTCCACGTGGCCTTCTGCACCTAGCCTGGCACAGCAGTCAATCCGTAACACCTGGGTCTGTTCACGTGGCCTGCGAGCAGCGAGCCTCAGACACTTCACGTGACCTTAAAGTGCACCTAGCCTGGCACAGCAGTCAACCCGTTACACCAGGGTCTGTCCACGTGGCCTTCTGCACCTAGCCTGGCACAGCAGTCAATCCGTAACACCTGGGTCTGTCCACGTGACCTGCGAGCAGCGAGCCTTAGACACTTCACGTGACCTTAAAGTGCACCTAGCCTGGCACAGCAGTCAACCCGTAACACCTGGGTCTGTCCACGTGATCTGCGAATAGCGAGCCTTAGACACTTCACGTGACCTTAAATTGCACCTAGCCTGGCACAAGCGCCGTGGTGATTTCACCGCCACTTAGTGGCGAACAGCAGCTGCTGTTGTTGTTGATTATAATGATGTTGAGAGGATTTTGGACAACAAGACAGATACAAAGGTCACCCGGATAGCCTTGGCCAGGCTGTTGGGGCAAGTGCAGGGTCCACTCGCCGCTCCATCTCCCCGGTGGACGTCTACCGTGGAGACGGAGCGACCCTGCCTAGGGTCAAGCGCCGTGCGGATCGTAACATCGGGGGCGGAGGGACGGAGGCCTTCATCCAGCAGTGCATTGATTTGCTGATGATGATTATTACAGCGATGATGATGATGGTGATCATGACGACGATGATGACAACGATGAAGATGACGACGACGATGGTGATCATGACGACGACGATGGTGATGATGATTATGATGATTGACAATGATGATGGCGGCGATGATGACGATGATGATAACAATGATTCAAAGTTCGATCGTTATGTCGCCTGTTCGGTCCAGAATAAGGTGGTGGCCGTTTACAACAACAACGGCCACAACAACAACAGCCACAACAACAACAACCACCCCAGCAGCGAGTGGTGAGCGAGCACCATTGCAGGATGGATGCTGGCGGCGATGAGAGGAGATGCAGCTACCGGTCGCTCACCAGATCACGCCGGTAAGGTCACGGAGGTTAGACCCACAGTCTCACACAGAGACCCACAGTCTCACACAGAGACCCATAGACTCGCATAGAGACCCACAGTCTCACATAGAGACCCATAGACTCACATAGAGACCCACAGTCTCACATAGAGACCCATAGACTCACATAGAGACCCACAGTCTCACATAGAGACCCATAGACTCACATAGAGACCCGTAGACTTACATAGAGACCCGCAGGCTCACATAGAGACCCGTAGACTCGCATAGAGACCCGTAGACTCGCACAGAGACCCGTAGACTCACACAGAGACCCGTAGACTCACACAGAGACCCATAGACTCACATAGAGACCCATAGACTCACACAGAGACCCTTAGACTCACACAGAGACTCATAGACTCACATAGAGACCCATAGACTCACATAGAGACCCATAGACTCACATAGAGACCCATAGACTCACATAGAGACCCATAGACTCACATAGAGACCCGTAGACACACTGAAACCCGTAGACTCGCACTGTTCAGACGGTTATAGGCAAGGACTGGTTTTAACATTCAGTGTATGAGTGAGGTGAGTGTGTGTACGGAGGAGGCTCGTGAATGACGATTCCGGGCAGTCGCCCTCCAGCAACAGCGGAGGGCGGAGGAGCGACGCTCACAACAACGAGCGGAGAGTCAGGCAGCTAAAGTGCAGAGAGTTGGTACAGTAGGGGGCACGGGTGGTGCATCAGCCGGTCATTTCAGTCAGTCGACCCGTGGCTCCTGGGTCTGCCCCGTGACCTCCTGCCATCAGCGAGTCTTCCACACTTCACGTGGTTGCCTCGACGTGCACCTAGCCTGGTACAGGCGCCCTGTGGACGTCGCCGCCACTTATTGGCGAACGGCGGTTGTTGTTGTTGTTGTTGTTTGATTTGTCTTCCCGCCCCCCCCCCCCCGTTCTGCATGGGTTTCCTCCTCGTATAGCTAAACCCACACCCACAGTGGAACTGCTCCGGGCCCAAAACCACAATGCCCAATGACGAAGTGAAAATCGCCTGCAAATCGCTGCTCTGGGATCTTACGGCAACAGCGGCAGCAGCGGCATCGCCCCCCACCCCTCCTTACTGCGACGCCTTAAACTTAAACTTTGTTTTTTATTTGACCAGGTTAAAGACCATAGAGCTATGTAGCTTTTTTTTTTTCCTCGGTGTCGGCTTATCGCGTGCACATGTATAGTTGCAGCCGAATGCTCTGAACGCGTGATGCTCATTCTAAATGTGGAGGGGTAAAACCGGAGGACCCGGAGACAAAATCTACGCAACAACGGAGAGAGAGAGAGACATGCAAACTCCAAATATACAGCAGCAGGCATCGTCAGGGTCGGGATCGAACCCACGACCTCCTGTAGACCAGGCGAGGTAGTTAACATCTCACCACGGAGAGAGAGAGAGACACGCAGACTCCAAATATACAGCAGGCGTCAGGGTCGGGATCGAACCCACGACCTCCTGTAGACCAGGCGAGGTAGTTAACACCTCAGCCACCAAGGCTCAGCAAGGCTTAACCGGATTTTAAGTGTCACCTGATATTTTGATTTAAAGCTTTCGTGACTGCAGGGATTCATATTCTTGGTTCTTTCGGTAAAGTCACCACCACGTAGAAGGGAAACAATAAAATAATAAAAATATAAAACAATGAAATTCTCACGACGTTTCGTCCGCAACACAAGCAATCATAGTGATTGCAGTCGAAACGTCGTGAGGATTTTATCGTTTTATATTTTTATTATTTTGTTGTTTCCCTTCTACGTGGTGACTTTACCGAAAGAACCAAGAATATGTAACCTTATAATTATTTAATCAGTGTGACTTGATGATTAGTGTAACCTGCTGCCCCTCCCGTGTGTGTGGAGAGAGTTGTTATCCTCACCGCAATCTCCTGCAGTCTAAACGACGATCATGATTCTGTTAGAATCCACGTGCGGATTCTAATTTTAAAAAAAAAAATATTCGTACGACAATTTGTATCGTTATTTTTTTCCCATTACTTTGTATACCTTTGTATTATTGTCTGTTATAATTTGACACGTTGATTTTTTTCTTCTGTTACTTTAACAATGTTCTTAAAGAAATGTTTAATTGTGTTTTTTTTGTACAATTTAAAATAATTTTTCACGGCAATTTTTTGCAACTTTTCAAGTGATTTGAAAGTAATTTCTCATTAAACGTTCAGCATATTTTCAATTCGTTATTTTCTATCGCCATTCCCAGCTTATTATTTATTACATTAAAATACCGGCATTTAAATCATTGCTTATCCCAACTCTTTCATTCTTTTTCCACCAATACCCTGGAGTCATTATTTATATAGTAACCCCTTCGTTATTTTCGTTATTAAAATTATTTTTAATTTTTTCACAACAACAGCACATTCATATTCTTAGCTCTTTCGGTAAAGTCACGTTGAAGGGAAACAATAAAATAATAAAATAAAAATATAAAACAATAAAAATTCTCACGACGTTTCGACTGCAACACAAGCAATCATCATCAGGTGTGAAAAACCAACGTTTGTGTTACGGTCGAAACGTCGTGAGAATTTTTTTTTTATTGTTTTCTATATTTTTTATTATTTTATTGTTCCCCTTCAACGTGACTTTACCGAAGGAGCTAAGCACATGAATCGCTGCAGTCGCGAAAGCTTGAAATCAAAACAACGCCAAAATCATTCCCTGTTCGTTTCCCTTCTCCCCAGCGAGCGAGCAGCTACAGCAGCAGCAGCAGGGAGGCCGGCCGCCCGGGGTCGCCTCGACCGTGACCCCGGGGGGGCGGAGGAGGAGCAGCTGGAGGCAGAGGAGGAGGAGGCGGAGGAGGAGGAGGAGCGGTGGGTCGCCATCCCGGCAAAGTCGCATGGCTCCGACGACACGCACGGGGCCCGTGGTGCCGGGGGTGGCCCCGCTGGGACCGCGACGAGGGGAGAGGGCGACGAGGTGGCGGCGGCGGCGGCTCGCCCCGCTGACGACTACACCACGGGTGAGGGAAGAGGGGGGAGGGGGGGGAGAGGTGGAGGTGCGGTCATCATCATCAGCAACAGCAGCAGCAGAATCATCGGTAGCATCAGCAGCATCAGTAGCAGCAGCAGGATCAGTAGCAGCAACTTCATCAGCAGCAGCATCGTTATCAGCAGTATCATCATCAGCAGCAGCAACTTCTTTAGCAGCATCATCAGCAGCAGCAGCAGCAGAATCACCGGTAGCATCAGCAGCATCAGTAGCAGCAGCAGGATCAGTAGCAGCAACTTCATCAGCAGCAGCATCGTTATCAGCAGTATCATCATCAGCAGCAGCAACTTCATTAGCAGCATCATCAGCAGCAGCAGCAGCAGCAGAATCATCGGTAGCATGAGCAGCATCAGTAGCAGCAGCAGGATCAGTAGCAGCAACTTCATCAGCAGCAGCATCGTTATCAGCAGTATCATCATCAGCAGCAGCAACTTCATTAGCAGCATCATCATCAGCAGCAGCATCACCAGCACTTTCCCCGCCAGGCTGCTAAGGCTACACGGGGGATCTCCGTATATTTAATATTCCTGGGTGTGTGTGTGTGTGTGTGCATAGCGATGTCTGTGTGTGTGTGTGTGTGCATAGCGATGTGTGTGTGTGTGTATAGCGGTGTGTGTGTGTGTATAGCGATGTGTGTGTGTGTGCATAGCGATGTGTGTGTGTGTGTATAGTGATGTGTGTGTGTGTATAGTGATGTGTGTGTGTATAGTGATGTGTGTGTGTGTATAGTGATGTGTGTGTGTGTAGTGATGTGTGTGTGTGTGTGCATAGCGATGTGTATGTGTGTGTGTGTGCATAGCGATGTGTATGTGTGTGTGTGTGCATAGCGATGTATGTGTGTGTGTGCATAGCGATGTCTGTGTGTGTGCGTGCATAGCGATGTCTGTGTGTGTGTGCATAGCGATGTGTGTGTGTGTGCATAGGGATGTCTGTGTGTGTGTGCATAGCGATGTCTGTGTGTGTGTGCATAGCGATGTGTGTGTGTGTGCATAGTGATGTCTGTGTGTGTGTGTGTATATAGTGATGTGTGTGTGTGTGCATAGCGATGTCTGTGTGTGTGTGTGTGCAGTGATGTCTGTGTGTGTGTGTATAGTGATGTGTGTGTGTGCGCGTGCATAGCGATGTCTGTGTGTGTGTGTGTGCATAGCGATGTGTGTGTGTGTGCATAGTGGTGTGTGTGTGTGTGCATAGTGGTGTGTGTGTGTGCATAGTGGTGTGTGTGTGTGCATAGTGGTGTGTGTGTGTGTGCATAGTGGTGTGTGTGTGTGCATAGTGGTGTGTGTGCATAGTGGTGTGTGTGTGTGTGCATAGTGGTGTGTGTGTGTGCATAGCGATGTGTGTGTGTGTGTGCGTGTGCATAGTGATGTCTGTGTGTGTGTGCGTGCATAGCGATGTGTTAATGCACGTGCAGATCCTGGGTCCGTGTTCCATTAATTCAGAGCTTAAAGGCACAACATTGTCATCACAAAGACAAAGACCCCCCCCCCCCCGTATAGCCTCACCAGGCTGCCGGGGCAAGTGCTGTTAGCGAGCGCCGATGAAGGCGGGACACGGCGCACGAGGGGGTGGGTGGCCAGCGCCACGCCCGGCCGCCTTTGTCTTCCCACAGCGGCGATGTTCACTGCACACACCGCACCAGGCACTCATTTGAGGCCCAGGACCGGTTGAGATAATCGTCACGGGTGTTGGCCATGAGCGGGATTCGAACCCGGATGGCCAGGTTTGCAGCGGAGTGCGCTAACCGCTGCACCACCGCTCCCCACAAACGCACATTCGCAATCGCGCCTCCGTTTAAAACATTCCCAATGTCCTCTTGCCTCTCGCGAACCAAACACAAAGTAAGATTCCCGCCTTGCTAATGCCTCGCTTCCCAAGTCTGCCACTCCGTGTAACAATCATACGTACCGGTGTGTTTTACTACCCATCCCATTAGCAGCATGGCCATGCTGGTGGGGCACCACGGTGGCTATGAGATGTTGACTACCTCGCCTGGTATGCAGGAGGTCGTGGGTTCGATCCCGATCCTTTGAGGCCTGCTGTTGTATATTTGGAGTTTGCGTGTCTCTCTCTCCGCGGTGAGATGTTAACTACCTCGCCTGGTATACAGGAGGTCGTGGGTTCGATCCCGACCCTGACGATGCCTGCTGCTGTATATTTGGAGTCTGCGTGTCTCTCTCTCCCCGTGGTGAGATGTTAACTACCTCGCCTGGTATACAGGAGGTCGTGGGTTCGATGCCTGCTGCTGTATATTTGGAGTTTGCGTGTCTCTCTCTCCGTGGTGGTTGCGTGGATTTTGTCTCCGGGTCCTCCGGTTTTTCCCCCTCCACATTTAGAATTAACGTCGTCACGCTTTTAGAGTACTAGGCTGCTGCTATCAATGTCTGCACGATGATGATGATGATGTTGATGATAATGATGATGAGCCACTTTGTTGAGCTATCATTTGTGATGGCCAGGTCGCTTCAGAAAACAAGTTTCGTAGATCAGTGGGGGGGTCCCCTTACCTGGTAAAGAAAAAATAATTCGTTCTGGAGTTGCGTCTCAGCGGCATTGGTTCAACAGAGGCACAAAAACTGCACCGGTTTTGACATTGAGGGTCTCATCAGCAGAACGCGAGGCTTGCCCTGCAACCGTTGGTTCGGCACAAGCGACACCACGGACCGGTCGCGAAATTCAGACACCGCTCTATGAGTCTACAATTATTACGATTGTGATTCACAATTGTTATCTTAATTCGTACAATCTTTGTCTCTCCCATCCTCCCCCCCCCCACCCCCCGTTCAGCGTTCCTCTGGGATCCTGAAGCGCCACCGCTCCGGATTTTCCGAACCCACTCCGTGAGCGCCGACACGGACGGCACCGGCGGCGGTCTAAACCAGCAGCAGGAGCAGCAGGAGCAGCAGTACCATCACCACCACCATCATCAGCAGGAGCAGCAGCAGCAGCAGCAGGAGCAGCAGGAGCAGCAGCAGCAGCAGTACCATCACCACCACCATCATCAGCAGGAGCAGCAGCAGCAGCAGCAGCAGGAGGAGCAGTACCATCACCACCATCATCATCAGCAGGAGCAGCAGCAGCAGGAGCAGCAGCAGGAGCAGCAGCAGCAGTACCATCACCACCACCATCATCAGCAGGAGGAGCAGCAGCAGCAGCAGGAGGCGCCATCTCACTCTGCCGCCACCACTCCACTTATCTCCTCCATGATGATGGCGGCGCTGGAACAACATCACCACCAACATCATCACCATCAGCAGCATCATCAGCAGTACAATCACCACCACCATCAGCAGCAGCAGCAGCAGGAGTTGATGGTGCAAGTGCCGCTGTCGTCCACGGCCGACCGATCGCCGGTGCTTGTGGTGATGGTGCCGCGTGGCGCCGTCGGCTGCGGACAGAGGGGGGCTGACGCGACCTTCCCGGCCTTCCCGGCCTTCCGCAGGCGGGGCGACGCTCCCGACGGCGGGGGAGGGGGATCGGGAGGTGGAGGAGGAGGTGGAGGAGGTGGAGGAGGAGGTGGAGGAGGAGGAGGAGGTGGAAGAGAATTTGGGAGCGGAGTTACTTTTGGGGGCTCGTTCGGGAAAGTTGAGGTTTCTGACGGAGGAGGAGGTGGACTAGGAGGAGGTGAACTAGGAGGAGGTGGACTAGGAGAAGGAGGAGCCCCTTTTGGGGGCTCCTCCCGGCAAACTGAGGTTTCTGACGGAGGAGGTGGACTAGGAGGAGGTGGACTAGGAGGAGGTGGACTAGGAGGGGGAGGTGGACTAGGAGGAGGTGGACTAAGAGGTGGACTAGGAGGAGGTGGACTAGGAGGAGGTGGACTAGTAGGAGGTGGACTAGGAGGTGGACATGGAGGTGGACTAGGAGGAGGTGGACTAGGAGGAGGTGGACTAGGAGGGGGAGGTGGACTAGGAGGGGGAGGTGGACTAGGAGGAGGTGGACTAGGAGGGAGAGGTGGACTAGGAGGTGGACTAGGAGGTGGACGAGGAGGAGGTGGACGAGGAGGAGGAGGAGTCCCGTTTGGGAACTCGCTGGGCTCTCAGCGGAGGGGCGAGTTCCTGTCGGGCCGCGACGACTCGGCGCTGACACTCACCGACAGCGACGGCGAGCGGTCGGAAACCGGCACAGGTGAGTGCTGGGGGTGTCGCCCCTCCCTCTCTCTCTATCTCTCCCTCTCTCTCTCCCTCCCTCTCCCTCCCTCTCCCTCCCTCTCCCTCTCCCTCCCTCCCTCTCCCTCCCACTCCCTCCCTCTCCCTCCCTCTCCCTCCCTCTCCCTTCCTCTCTTTTTTTACCATCAGAGGAAACAAGAAGATGCTCGGTGTAGTCGGCACTTTGCTCCGTTCATCATTTCGTTTTTTTATGCTTTGCTTTATGTAACCCCCCCCCCTTTTAAATGAAAGACCAAAAATATTGTTTTTTTCTTTTTCCTTCCCCCCCCCCCCTCTCTCTCTACCCCCCTCTCTGCCTCTCCTCTCTCTCTACCCCCTCTCCGCCCCCCTCTCTCTCTGCCCCCTCTCTACCTACTCCATTTGTCTTTCTCTCGCTCTCTCTCTTTTTTCTTTATAACTACGACAAGTGCTGCATCTGCACGCAGCCCTTCCCACAGTCAAACGGCCTCCGACGGGTAGCTCAGATCTGCACGCAGAGCTCTCTACCGTCATCTGCCACCGAGCACACGGCCTCCTCCAGCGCCCACCGCTCCTTGAAGGCCGGCACGGCGTGGGTCAGCCGCGCGTGGCGGAACTCCAGCCCACGCACCCTGGCTCCGACCAGAGCGCGGAAGATGCCCAGGCTGCTGGCCGGACGTTGCCCCTCCAGGGCCACCTTCCTCGCCCTGTATATGGCGTGCTTGGCGTAGCCGATGAGCACGTTAACCGGCCCCTGAAGATATTGGGGTCCGTCGCCCTTCGGGTGTCCAAAAATGAGGACCGTCGGGGAGAAATGGAGGCCTTGAACAACGAGTCCAGGCTCCTGCACTCCATGTATTGGTGCGCCACCGTCTCCACTTTACCGCAGAACCGGCACTCCGGGGACGTGTCGGTGAAGCGCGCCAGGGAGGCGTCGGTGGTGACGGTGCCGTGGGCGATGCTCCAGCTGAGGTCGCCGATGCGGTTGTACGTCGGGCTGGAGTAGAGTTGCCTCCAGCGAGGCCTCTCCGGAGAGATTCAGGGCAGGGCTTTCCTCCAGGCATGGTCCTTGTGGCTCCTCAGGGTGTCCTGTTGGTGGAACCGGACCATGCAGGAGTAGAGCACCTTCCTCTTTATGTTTGAGAATGCAACCTCCGGTAGGTCTTCCAGCTGGCACCGGTTGTGATCCGCCTTCGTTTGTCGGCATTGGCCATGCAGTGGCACGACTGAGAGCTCCGGTGGAGGGGGACCGAGAGAGGCCCAGTCATCCCTGATGCCAATGGGAAGCGTTCTCCCCGCTGCCGCTGAGAAGGCCCCCTTGGCTTCGGCCAGGATCCGGATAGCCACCCGGAGCGACTGCAGGTGCCCTGTCCTTGCGGCCATCTCGGCCGGTCTGAGCCACCGCACCCGTGTTTCAGGTTCCACCAGATCTTCCATCCTGGTGAGAAGCGCGTTGGCGAGGCGCCTCTCCATGCCGGGGGTGGTGGTGGTGGTGGTGGTTGGCAGCTTTGTCTGTGGGTTCCTGAGGATTGGTTGGAAGACCAAATCCTTGGCCCATCGTGGCTGGTTCAGCCTCCTGATGGCGAGGAAGCTCCATGTCTGCAGGACGCTCCTGCAGAAGGGTGGCAGCTGTCCCAGTGGGAGGCCCTGCAGGTCCATGTAGAATAGTTGTTTGGAGCACTGCAGACCCCCCAGCTGTTTCAGGAGGAAGGAGGCCGTGACGCTCCAGGCCGGTGCCAGGGCGGCGTGCAGGAACTTTTGCGCTGCCTGCAGTCGGAAGGTGGCCAGCTGACTCCGCACGCACATCGGCCCGTGACCGCCCTGGTCCAGTGGCAGGGCCAGGACCCCAGCCGCGACCCGGTGTCCTCCACTCGACCAGAAGAAGTCGAGTACTCGCTTCTGAAGTGTGTTGACAAGGCTCATGGGGGGGGAGTGCAGGGAGAAGAGTCGGTGCCACAGCATGGACGTCACCAGCTGGTTCACCACCAACGTCTTTGTCCTGAAGGTGAGGAACTTGCACAGGCGACTCCAGGTGCCCAGCCGCTCCTTCACCTTCTCCTCCAGCTCGACCCAGTTCCTCTGCGGTGGTTCCTCCTCTGGTCCGAGGAACACTCCCAGGTGGTGCAGCGATGTTGTGCTCCAATTGATGGCTTTTGCCTTCTCGGGACACTCGGTCATGTCCCACGCTCCAACCAGCAGGCCGCTGCACTTTTGCCAGTTCATTTTTGATGAGGAGGCCTTCAAAAAGACCTCCTGGCACTCGTGCAGCAGGGCGACATCATCCAGGGAGCGCAGCATGAGGAGGACGTCGTCGGCGTATGCCGTCAGGACCAACTTGACGCTTGGTTCCCTGACCACCAGGCCGCTGAGTCTCCGCCTGATGAGACTCAGGAAAGGCTCTAAAGCCAGGGCATAAAGTTGGCCCGACAATGGGCATCCCTGTCTCACTCCTCGCTTGAATTTGACCGGGGCAGTGAGGGCGCCGTTGATCTTGATCACGCACTCCGCCTTGGTGTAGAGTAGGCGGATCGTTCGGACAAAGGCATCCCCAAAACCCAAGGTCTTGAGAGTTCCCAGCAGGTACTTGTGGTCCACTCTGTCAAAAGCCTTTTGATGGTCAAGCGCCAGAAACGCGATTGGGATGCCCAACCTCTAGGACACCGCGATGAGGTCCCTGACCAGGAAGATGCCATCGTGGATGGTTCGTCCGGGGGATGGTGTAGGACTGGTCCCCGTTTACGACTTGTGCAATCACCCCTTCCAGTCGCAGGGAGAGAGCCTTCGTCAATATTTTGTAGTCTGTGTTCAGGAGGGAGACCGGACACCAGTTTTGTAGGTGCCTCAGGTCTCCGTTCTTGGGAAGCAGAGTGAGCACCACCCTCCTCCAAGACTGAGGCATCACCCCGGTGACTGAGGCTTCCTCCAGCACCTCTCTTGTAGTCCTCCCGCAGGGATGGCGTAAAACTCCCCTGTTAGCCCGTCTAACCCTGGGGATTTATTTGGGGCCAGTCCTCTTACAGCTGCGTCAAGATCATTCCGAGTGAGCTTCTGCTCCAGCAGCTCTCTCCCGTCTTCCCCCAGGGTGGGTAGACCGCTCCATGCCTCCGCCTGGGCTGCACCCGATGTTTCTTCAGGAGGGAGCAGACTGCCCTAGAAGTCTCTCTCCCTTTCTATCGCTCTCCCTCCCTCTCACTCTCGCTCCCTGCCTCTCCCTCTATGTTTGTACGATCAGAGGAAACAAGAAGATGCTCGGTTTAGTCGGCACTTTGCTTCGTTCATCGTGTCGTTTTTTGGGGGTTTTTTTCCCATGGCTTTATGTGCTTCCCCACCTCTTAAAATGAAAGATTTTTCCGTGTTTTCCCATTGTGAGACGAAAACAATCTGTGCTACTTTCTTCGTAGACACAAACAACAACAACAACAAGCACGCTCTGCTCCTCCTCCTTACCCCTTCCCCCTCTCTCTCTACCCCCTCTCTCTCTACCCCCCTCCCTCTACCCCTCTCTCTCTACCCCCTCTCTCTCTACCCCCTCTCTCTCTACCCCCCTCTCTCTCTACCCCCTCTCTCTCTACCCCCTCTCTCTCTCTACCTACCCCCTCTCTCTACCCCCCTCTCTCTCTACCCCCTCTCTCTCTATATATCCCCTCTCTCTCTACCCCCTCTCTCTCTACCCCCTCTCTCTCTACCCCCTCTCTCTCTACCCCCTCTCTCTCTCTACCTACCCCCTCTTTCTACCCCCTCTCTCTCTACCCCCTCTCTCTCTATATATCCCCTCTCTCTCTACCCCCTCTCTCTCTACCCCCTCTCTCTCTACCCCCTCTCACTCTAACCCCTCTCTCTACCCCCTCTCTCTCTACCCCCTCTCTCTACCCCCTCTCTCTACCCCCTCTCTCTGCCCCCCCCTCTCTCTCTACCCCCTCTCTCTAATCCCTCTCTCTCTCTACCCCCCCCCCCCCCGCTCTCTCTCTCTACCCCCTCTTTATCTCTATTTTTTTTACAGTGTACATTTTATTTAAGGAGAAATTACGTTAACAAAAGTGGTAACACTACATGAATGAATGGGGATGAAGTAAACAGACTCATAAAATATATACGCAGTCGTAAAATCAATTCCAATCCCCTGGAATATGCGGAGTCACATAAGACAATAAACACATCACATCAGATTCTCAGTCGATCCGAATTTAGGACAATAACTAAACCACAGTAATTTAAAGTGTTGAACTGCAATTATACCGTCTTCTTTGGTTCTTTCGGTACAGTCACCACGTAGAATGAGAATAAAATAATAAATTGATCAAATAAAATAACACAATAATATTATCACGACGTTCTACGTGACTTTACCGAAAGAACCAAAGAAGATGAATCCTTGCAGTCACGAAAGCTTTAAATCGAAATGCAATTATACCAATTAAAATCAAATGTGACACTCACCTGAACATGACTTTGCTGTATATTTTAGTTGTATTGTTCATAAAAACCCACATCATTTGCAACAAAATTATTTTATAAAACCTTTACATTATGTTTTTTGGATGCATTTTCTACACTACATTTTTTTGCGAATACACAAACATGGATAGAAAACTCGTTTTGAAAATGTATCAAGCAGGTCAAAAGTAAAACGATATTTCCACAGCTAGTATGCATTACATGTACATTGAAAGGCAATTTAGATATGCAACACAATTACAACGCAAACCAGCAAAGCCTAAGTTAATACACAACAAAGCACAGTAAAACACTGCAATTTGCTATTCAGTGAGATAATACCGCGTTATTCTGGACAATATATAGCAATATAAGCAATACATTGCTTGTGTTGCAATTTGAAACGTTGTGAGAATTTTATTGTTTTACATTTTTATTATTTTATTTCCCTTCTGCGTGACTTTACCGAAAGAACCAAGAATAATACATAAGCAGTTTAAAATTGGCTTACTGGTCCACAAAAGAAATGTTCACTTGAAGTTGGCATAGCAGAATAATTAATGTCTA